TATTCAATTGAAGGGGTAATATAATCTTGTAGATTTTCAGCAACCAACCAGCTTACACTATTCAATTGAAGGGGTAATATAATCTTGTAGATTTTCAGCAACCAACCAGCTTACACTATTCAATTGAAGGGGTAATATAATCTTGAAGATTTTCAGCAACCAACCAGCTTACACTATTCAATTGAAGGGGTAATATAATCTTGTAGATTTTCAGCAACCAACCAGCTTACACTATTCAATTGAAGGGGTAATATAATCTTGAAGATTTTCAGCAACCAACCAGCTTACACTATTCAATTGAAGGGGTAATATAATCTTGTGGTTATTGAATATAAACTGAAATTATTATTATTTTTGGTGAAAATATTACATGCTGAGTTTCACTATCTCTTACACATGTACAGTAATTTACAGACTCATCACCAAACTTATGAACTTGTTTTGATTCAACTTTGAATCTCTTCCTTAATGAGAGTCTTGTCTAAATTTCTATCGCCAGCTTTTTCATGGGGCGTTTAATTTTTTTTATCCCTTCCCACCCTGGGGTGGGATTTAACATTTTGAGATGTTTTTGCACGTTATACCCTTTAAGAGGGAAAGTTTGGATTATCAGATTTTGGTCTATGATAATGTTGATATTGGTGAATTTTTAGTAAGTTGATTGGTTGCTGAAAATCTAATAATTTGGTATATATAGGTTGTGTAATTTGGAACAGGATGACTTGTTGATACTAATGTACATGTGTAAGAGATAGTGAAACTCAGCATGTAATATTTTCACCAAAAATAATAATAATTTCAGTTTATATTCAATAACCATTAGTATCAACAAGTCATCCTGTTCCAAATTACACAACCTATATATACCAAATTAAAACATAGCTTATATTAATCCTGTAAGACACTATACATGTTGTTGAAGAGATCCAAGCATATTAAAAATAATATTAGATTGAGAGAAATAATCAGTTATATAAAAAAATTGTTTTCATTGTTTGTCTTTTGGTCTTTTCTAGTACCTGTGCAACCAGTTGTGATTTTAATCAAGATAAAATTATATCCAATTTAATTCAGAAACTAGTTTTAGTGAACAAAAATGTGCAATAAAAAAAAATAATAATTTTGTTGGAGAAGGAATTAACATTTTTAAAACACACTTAATGCAGTTTGTTTAAAAGGTCTCGTGAGTGAACAGAAACTTAATTTCAGTTAACTTAATTTCTAATCAAAGTTTGTTTGTTTTTATCTTTAAGATAGTTAACGAAGCTCGTCTATTGTTTCTTTCTTTAAAACATTTTGGAAGGTTCGTTTTCTATGCTCCTCTTATTTAGAGACTGGCTATTGTTTACACTGAAATATTCATGTGAATACCAAAAATAACAATTGACCTTCTTCCAAACAAAAGAATTTTGAAATTTGTATCGAAGTTACTTTTAGCTTTTGAGCTGGTTTCAGGCTTTCGAAAGTAAACAACAACATTAAAATTAGTACTACTGAAACCACTACATCTATACTTTGGCAAACTGAAACCCCTACATAACCATTACATGGTCATTAAATCATAATGACGACTTTAATTTAATATATTGAAATTTTAGTGTCATCGTATAACATCTTATGTGTATTACTAGACATTCCAAGTGATTCATGACGAACAACAAATTCCAAGAATGCTACACTAGTGACTAAACTTACCAAACTCAAAGTTAAAACGTGTCTAAAGAATCAAACTATTCACTGTACTTCACGTTAAACAACTGGTAAAGCTAGTAGCTATTCACTGTACTTCACGTTAAACAACTGGTAAAGCTACTAGCTATTCACTGTACTTCACATTAAACAACTGGTAAAGCTACTAGCTATTCACTGTACTTCACATTAAACAACTGGTAAAGCTACTAGCTATTCACTGTACTTCACATTAAACTACTGGTAAAGCTAGTAACTATTCACTGTACTTCACATTAAACTATTGGTAAAGTTACTAGCTATTCACTGTACTTCACGTTAAACTACTGGTAAAGCTACTAGCTAATCACTATACTTCACGTTAAACAACTGGTAAAGCTACTAGCTATTCAGTGTACTTCACATTAAATAACTTGTAAATATTAATTAGTTTCACTACTGCTAAAAGTTGATTATTTAATCTAGCTGAAAAACAAAACTTAAATTCAGATGGTCTATAAAGATTTTTTAATGCTATTAAAAAAATCCAACAAAAATGAATAAAGAATACAGGTAAATCTGTTCTAGCAGAGTTATGATGATAATATTTCATTAATCAAGAAGATCAACACATTTAGTGAGAAATATTTTATTCAACTATTTTCAAAAAAACATTAAGTTTGTTACTCAAATCTGGATTAAAATATTTACATTTAATACAATAAATATCTTGATTTTCATTTAGGGTGTATACAAGACAATCACAGCGACCTTGCATTAAACTAGAAAGGTTCTCAACATTATCATATAAAGTATCTTACATCTAAAAGGATCACATTTTAGTAACAGTCCATAGATGAGAACTATCTACACTGCTTTAAGTCTGGCTGTCACAACAAGATTACTATTTATACAATATACACATACATATCACAAGATTCAATTTTAAATAAGCTCGTATATGACAATTATTTCAATAGCCAGAACAAACATAGGAACCATCAAATTAGACATTCTGACAGAGTAATTCTTGTAAACCTAAGAAAGGTAACAAGAAATAAGGTATAAATCTTAAATATTTAGAAAACTTCTTTAAATTATCTGTTTAACTAATTAAATATCAAGTCAAATTTCAATTAGCTTTTGGATAACTTAAATTCCTATTCTGTCCAAATCATACTAATTAATATTGCATCTCAACATTAACTTTTGATCAAAAAAACATCAAGCTAACTGTACAGAACTAAAAAGTAACTTACAAATTAATAAATACAACTGTGAAAATTTATATAATAAAAAATGCTTATTTTAAGTTTTTGCTTAACTTGACATTTCTTCAAAAAGTTTAACACAACACTTCAAAATTGTGAAACAGTAAATTAATAATACAAGAAACCTTTGAACAATATGTTTAGTTGGGATTAAAACAATGCACATATAATTACTGATGAGTAGTGAAACAATAATATCTGTGGATGACGACAAATATAATGATCACTATCAAAAACATGTAGTGACCTTTAGTGATCAGATCAATTCTTTGATATTTACAAGTTAATCTTTTTTCTTTTTACAACTACAATCATAAGTGGTTTACTTGTTTCAGGCACCACTTGAAATAAGGTTTTCCAATTTATAAAAAATCCACTTTACTTTCTAGATTTATTTTTTGTTCATGTTAGGATAATTAATTTCAACTTAACATTATTTCTTTATACAACACTCGGTGAATACAAGTTATTTAATTTTTAAGAATGTTCCAACTATGATAAGACTAATAACCAAGTTATAAAATCTCATCTTGCTATGAAGAGCTCAAGGTTTAATTAGAAAACCATCTTCAGATACTAATTTCTTTCATAATATTTTTAATTTCTAACACACAACTTATTTACAAAATCTACATTCTTAACTTCAAATTATTAAAGTTTTAGTGAATATTACAATTATCAATAAAGTAAAATAATAATCAAAACGTTTACAGTATTAATCTAACATTGTTTGAGAAATTTAACATAATTAAGAGTTTATATTTAATTTTCTCATTTGCAACTTGAATCTAAGGTAGTTTCAGTTTTAAAAACAAACAGATTACAAGGATTCTACTGTCAGTATATAAACTCAGTGTAAGATTTCTAATTACAGTGAAGGGAGAGCAAAAATATAACTATTTATGGATAGTTTACCTACATTAAACTTCGAACATTGACAAAAAAGAAAGAAAATTAAATAAAATTAAGTTCAAGATACACAACTTGAATTAGATTCTAAGTTAAAACTCTAAATGTTTTCAACTAATTCAGTAGTGATTCATCTCACTTTTAGATCTTACTGTTAGTATAATTTTGTTAAGACCTCAATTCACATCCTTGTCTTCATTCAATACAATCTTCTAGTTAATTCCAAAGCCAGAGATCAGAATTCGTAATCCCAGCCAGAGTTATCTTCCAGAGCCTGTTGGTCGATTGGAGGTGGGTAGTCATCAAAATTACTGGCGTCCACTGTGCTTTTCACC